CGGGCGGGGCCTGGCGCTGCTGCCTTCAGACAGCGCAACCCGCTCCGGCCGCAGCCCCCTCCTCGGTAACGGGAGCGGCTTTCTTTAGGGAGAGGACTCTACCCCGAGACGGCTCTTCAACGGGCTTTTCACCCAAGCCGGCTGCCCTCCGGAGCAGAGCCGCCGGAGTTCGCGTCCACTGGGATTTGTCAGACACCCTCTGCTGATACCCTCTGGTCTGATTTATTGTGTTAGAAGGTTTCAAGGTCACATTGAGATTCTGGTGGAACTAAATTAAACCCATGACTCATGACATTATATGCTTGGTCAAACATTCTTTTTCTGTCTTCTTGTAGCCCCTGTAACTAATAAGAAGAGATCAGTGAACCCTTGACAAATGATCTGAGAAAAAGGGTGAGGTATGAAAAGGCATCATGTGGAGAAACAAATTACAACCTATTTCCCCTAGTTTGGGACCAGGGTGTTCGGGGAGCACTGCTGGGAGGTCATACACCTCCCAGGCTTGGTAGATATTTTCGGAAGGCTGAAAATTGAGCAGAATTTTCATTTCTTCCATTGTAACTCAGCCGGATGAAATACTGAAAATAGAGCGTACGGTGAAACCTTATATTAGCATGAGAAAAGAAGAGCTGACCTACTAAGGGTTTTGTAGAGTGACTTCATGAGTAACCAGGGCTGTGTGTTAGTAAAGTGTGGCTTTATGACTCTTAGTATTAAAAAGAGAAGGGAGAAAGAAACTGCACTCTGGAGCTAAGCGTTTTGAAAACACTGCTCCATGCCTACTTTGGTGTCAGTCTTCCACTTGCTATGCACAGGCAGTAATCCATGTTCCTAAGGAAAAATCATCACTGAAAGCTCTTAGTCCTGAATGTCGTGGCTACTGCCACAGGCTGATAGTTTTGGAAGAGCCACTATGTGAAATAGGGATGGGCAAATGGAAAAACAAACGGTGACTCTGAAGCAGAAATATGATAGTAATTGCACTTGAAGGCAGAGAACCTGAGCTGGGCAAGCTCTGGTCCTGCAGAGGAATAGCCATGCTCATGGAGAGAAGAGTTAAGGGTGTACACACATGCTCTAAACTGTGGGGCTGTAGTAATGCTGTTCCTTTAGATGTTGTGCTGGGTTGGACTGTGGTGGGCTCAGCCCGTGAGATAAATTGCATGTGAATAACATACGCCCTCAGATCTGTGACTGCACCAACCCTGTCGCATTCTGCAAAGAGCCAGACCCAAAGCCAGTTAGAGTCTTCCCACTGACATTGACACAGGGTGGAGGGACTTCCTAGGAGCTGCCTTTGGCTAGATGGGAGCCCACTGTAAGTAGTAAAGGAGTAGTAGTAAAGGAGTAGTAGTCAATCTTACCCTAGCGCCAGTTCACCAGCGCCACTGATCTTGTCTCAGAAACTGAATTCAGACACCACAAGGAAACATAGAAGTGAAGGGTGTTA